TTTTACACACACAAAAAACTATCATCATGTGTACATTCACTTTATCATCACATAATATTATATTTGGAACATGACGATGTGCGAAGCTGTTTTTGAACTGCTCCTGAAAGCATGATTTTTTTCCGAGATGAAATTTATTCGGAAAAGCGCCCGTATTAATTTCTTACAATACTGTTTGAATAATGACAATGATTACATGGCTACACTCTCAAAGCAACCTATGTTATATGAAAGTTTTGTTTCGTTCACAGATATAATTATTGTTATCAAACTAAAGCTATGAGATTGGTGTATGAAAAGTTAAAGAAACTAGCAAGTAAATTTTAATGCAAGTATACATACTTCAGCTAACATGTTCAAATATTGATAATATTATAATAATCAACATATGAATAGCTTTTATAAAAATTATAAGGCAAAACTGAAAAAAGTAGCGGCATAAAAAAGCTTCACAGACATATCGACCAACCAATCACTGCCATTCTAAGCAAAAAAATATAGTTTATATCTGTGTATGCAAGAGACATGCTGATTGGTTGATTTCACAACCTGATTTAAAAAATAATCAAGGCAATAATAAAATATGTATACACCATGCCATGTTTAAGGGAAGGGAGTAAAAAATATATATGTGGGCAATCATTACATAGCAAATTTCAAAATCTACAGCAACTTTTCAAATCTACAACATGGCTTGTAAAAAAAGATTGCAAGAATAAGGCTATTGCACTTATAGTACTAAATTAATGCAAAAAATTTATACAAAATGAACCTATATTGCAATAATAGCATAAAACCATACATTAGACAGTGTATAAAACTATTTATAATGCAAACCAATTCAGTAAATTCTATTTCAAAGCCAATATTGTGACGAAAAAGATACCTTGGGGAAAAAAAAACACTAGAAATCAAATACAACTTTGGTTATGACGATGAAATATGAAAAAAAAAATACCCAACATACAAAAATATCGCAAAATTGTTAAATGCTACTGTAAAAGTATGACTTAGAATAAAATTTGTAAATCAGAACACATTGTATAATCAGTATTTTCAAATATAAGTTGTAAAATATGTAATAATGGGAAGTAGCAAGATTAATTTGCAGGTTAAAATAATAAACTCACGAGTAATCATTAATTGCATGATTCTCCCTTTACTTCCATTTAAACATTCACATCAATTATACAGCTAAATGATTCAATTTCATTTTTACCTAAGAATTCAATGTAAAACGTCAGAAAAATATTACTTATTTAAACCAGTGTTGTTAATTTTGTGCCCAAAACATATAGAGTTGAATGTACACATCAAAATGAGTAATACACTCAATGTACACATCAAAATGAGTAATACACTCAATGTACACATCAAAATGAGTAATACACTCAATGTACACATCAAAATGAGTAATACACTCAATGTACACATCAAAATGAGTAATACACTCAATGTACACATCAAAATGAGTAATACACTCAATGTACACATCAAAATGAATAATACACTCAATGTACACATCAAAATGAATAATACACTCAATGTACACATCAAAATGAATAATACACTCAATGTACACATCAAAATGAGTAATACACTCAATGTACACATCAAAATGAATAATACACTCAATGTACACATCAAAATTAGTAGTAAAATAGTCTCTAGCATAAAAAAGTTGAAAATATCGTTTTCATAAACTGACGTATAAAAACACTGAAAGATTAATATTAATGCTAAAATAAAACATGGGGGAAAAAAGGATTACAAATAACCTTTATTGGCATTTCTGAGTTATCAAGTTACAAAAATACAGGCACCAAAAAGTATTTACAACCTTTGAGTGTAAAAAAACAAACATTTGTGTCCATTATATAATTCCGAAATTTTTGTGTTCATTACATAATTCCAAAATTTTTGTGTCCATTATATAATTCCGAAATTTTTGTGTCCATTATATAATTCCGAAATTTTTGTGTCCATTATATAATTCCGAAATTTTTATGTCCATTATATAATTCCAAAATTTTTGTGTCCATTATATAATTCCGAAATTTATCAACATCCTAAAGATGCACATGCATAATTATAACCTACACTGTTGGAGTATTTCTGTAATAAAAACTAATAAATAAACAATTTTATTTTCATTAATATAACCATCGAGTTATTGCTTATTATTACAAGATCCTAAAACAAAACACAAATATCTTGCCCCCAAATTTGAAAAAAAAAAAACATTAAATCTACATATGTCAAGTTCTTGATACTTCTCATATAAACATTCAGCAAATGTTTAAAAATCAAAATACAATTATGAATAAAAATTTACATAACTTAAAATACGATAATTCAATGCAACAGAAATAATGAGTATTTTTTAGTTGGGATTCGATAAATTTTTACACCAGAATCATATATAACAACTCAAAATATTTCAAGTCAACCTATATTTCTGCAAATTGATAAAAATAGAAACCTTACACTTTGAGGTAAGTCATAGACAGTGAAATAATGTAAAAAAGACTTTTTTTCAGGGCTTCCTATAATGGAAGTTTTAGAGTCATTTGTTACTCCTTGATTTGGGATCGTGACTTTCAGAATTCAACGTTTGTTTTCATTCTTTACCTATTGGTCATATAACATGTAACGTTTTCATTCTTTACCTATTGGTCATAGAACATGTAACGTTTTCATTCTTTACCTATTGGTCATAGAACATGTAACGTTTTCATTCTTTACCTATTGGTCATATAACATGTAACGTTTTCATTCTTTACCTATTTGTCATAGAACATGTAACGCTTTCCTTCTTTACCTATTGGTCATAGAACATGTAACGTTTTCATTCTTTACCTATTGGTCATATAACATGTAACGTTTTCCTTCTTTACCTATTGGTCATAGAACATGTAACGTTTTCATTCTTTACCTATTTGTCATAGAACATGTAACGTTTTCATTCTTTACCTATTGGTCATAGAACATGTAACGTTTTCATTCTTTAACCTATTGGTCATATAACATGTAACGTTTTCATTCTTTACCTATTGGTCATATAACATGTAACGTTTTCCTTCTTTACCTATTGGTCATATAACATGTAACGTTTTCCTTCTTTACCTATTGGTCATAGAACATGTAACGTTTTCCTTCTTTACCTATTGGTCATAGAACATGTAACGTTTTCCTTCTTTACCTATTGGTCATAGAACATGTAACGTTTTCCTTCTTTACCTATTGGTCATATAACATGTAACGTTTTCCTTCTTTACCTATTGGCTATATAATGTGACTTCAAATTTTAGAGATTTTACAGTCCCTGCAGGGCTCTACAAATCCTATAGTCCGATGTCCGGGACAACTCTAAAACCACTTGGGACAACTGACAATAAGCAGAAAGTTAGTCCCGGACAAGTCAAATTTTGACAGATGCTTATCTTGGACAACTGTAAAATTATGTTTAATAATACGACCCTACACAGCATGGTGCACTGGTAATCTTCGCCTGAGGCAATCAATCTCAGCATTTGCTACGCTGATTAATTTTACATTGCCACAGGCAATAAAAATAGATAAGACACTAAATGTTTGATAAAAATCTTAAATACAAAGTCCAACATTATTATAGACATGTCAAAAACATTATTAAGTCACAGACTTGGTCTTTGAAGTTGATATATTGTAATTTGTGCCGTGAATTGAAAATTTGGAATTTCTTTTTAGGCTTTTTGATGAATTCCTCAGTGGAAAACAATATTAGAATATCCAAAAAGCATCAATTATGAACGCATTAGAACATACAATAGTCAAAATAGTATAATTTATGAGGAAAACAGAAAAATTTTCATTTGTCACATATTTTCGCGATGCCGATTTTTTTATATAAATCGTGAGGCAGCTTTAATCAGTTTAAAGCTCTGCAGCAAGTAGACATATTAAAAATCTTTTGTTACTTATGAATCAAAAGGACTTTTGACAATGTTAAGATAAATAATGATGAGATTTGTAAGTATTTGAATAGTCTAATTCACTATCATATTTTATATTTCCCTACCGGGTAATAATGACTGGCTTTTTCTTATTTACCAATTCCAATGTGAAATGTGGAAACTGAGGGAGGCTATGGCTAACAAGATTCTTGTTAGAATAATTTTACTTAAATTTTCAAGATCAAGCCTGAAGGATAAAAATTCAGGAAAAAAAATAAAACTGAAACAAAACATATAGGCCTATTGAACTTGAACAGTGCTGAAAGGTACCTGGGAAGAGTGCTGAACAATCAAAACTATTTCAGTTGAAACAAAATGTTCTATTTTATACTACAAATGAAATACAAAATGTTTACTTCTTCTTTGGATATACATACTATGCATACTGAACATTTACCGAGACTTGGACACTTGTAGTCAATTTTGGGACAACTCTATTTTGCTAGGTCAGTTGTCCTGGACAACTCTATTCCAAAAAAATTTGTAGAGCCCTGCCCTGACTTTCAAATTTTTTAACTTAATGCCAAAGTAGGGGTAGACCTGTTTTTTCGTACTGTTTGAAGCTATTACTCAACACTTCATGCAATCAAACCCAATTTGTTTAATCCTGACATATAAAATTTATTGAAAATTAACATGCACACAATGTTACAATATTGTTTGTTTGATTACTGCAAAACTTCATTTACTGATTTAGAAAAAAAATAAACGTAAGTTTAAATCTAATGTAAATTTAGTCTGTAATTTTAAATCCTTTTACAAAATTTAACAAATATTATTTCTGTAATCACCTGATAATCCATCTTACTGCAAAACCATTCAAACAAAAATTAGTAAGATTTAATAAATAAAAAGGGGATCCATGAAATTCTGTCTGTAATTTAAAATATACCTTAAAAAAACTTTTTAAAAAATAATGAAATACTAAATTCTTTCAAGTATACATCTTAGTAAAGCAAAGACTAGCTTTTGTAAATACAAAAAAAAAAAAAAAAAAAAAAAAAAAAAAAAAAAAAAAAACATTATGCTTCAGTTTATGTCATACATTATGTAAAAAACATCTTTACCAGAAAGTTATAAAATTCTCCAAAAAAAATATGATTCACAAAAAATAAAATTGCCACATAGCGTAATAATCAGAATAAAAAAAGTTTAATACACATGTATATATTTTTTGCCCACTCAGACCACAGGCCTTATCAATTCACTTAAAAAATTCTGTCTATATACATGTACATCATTTTGTGTAGGCACTCATTCCACCATCATCATCATCATCATCATCATCAAACAGTAGCAAAAAGTATCCTTCATCAACAAAAATCTTTCCACTTCTCAGCTGCTGATGTTACATTCCCTCTCAACTGCTAGATTAAAGTAAGTCCCTTTTAATTCTGAAATAGCTTTTGATGGTTTACCGACCTTTTTGTATCATTCCTGACTGATGGATTCTGACCGATTCCTTGAAAATGTAGTTTTCACTTCTGAAGCTAAACTTTCAACATTTCTACTGCTAAATCCAAATTTCACTTGTTGGCCCACACATATAACTTAGAAACATAGACTGTTGAATCCTCAAGAAACGACAAAGCATGATATTTCTTCTAGGTGTTGAACTTTGAGAAGAAGGTTCAATGAAATATGAATATCACATACACGATGCATTAGCCAAGTTGACCTATTTATAAAAAAAACACTGAATGCACGAAGATCCATTTCCGAACGTAATTTATGACATGCATTCCCATCTCAATGTATTACTGTTTTGTTTTTTTTATAAAATAAAGCACACATTTAGACATCTGTGAAAGAACCAGCAACTCTTAATCCTCAACTGATATGATAAGCAGCAAAAATGGCCATATGATAAATCTGTAAGAATCATTCATGTATACTCATTACTGATGCAGTCTTAGACACACAAACTTTTAAGACTTGGACCTGATTACAGATTCAGTGGGAGACTTGATCCTAACTGCAATATCTGATTACAGTAAGTCATTATATTAATAATGTAGAAGATCAGTAATTGATTAATTCAATTAAGCGACACTAATTGGCATTACAGATTCAATTAAAGAACACAAGTTAGATGGTTCAGTCTATGTTCATTCTAAGATTCCAATGTATATGAAACCTTGTTCCATTTTATATTAATGGTGTATTAAAAATTCTTGTCAATTTGGATCAGTTTTCAATTTAATTACACTTATTACAGATTTATTTGAAAATGCCACACTTAAGATATCTGTTTCAATCAAATTACAGATTCTTTTGAAAGTAACTCTTTACAAAATCCAATTACTGATTCATTTGAAAATGCCACTATATATAGATAAAATTACAGACTTGTCTGAAAATACCACTTTTTTAAGATCTGTTCTAAATCCAATTACAGATTCATTTGAAAATACCACTTTTTACAGATTTGTTCTGAAGCAAATTACAGGTTCACCTAAATATTCCAATCTTTACAGATTTGTTCCGAAGCAAATTTACAGATTCGCCTAAAAATACCACTCTTTACAGATATGTTCCATTACAAATTACAGATGCATTTTGCAAATTCCAATCTTATACACTTGATGATACTGCAGTGTATCTCTCCAGCCCAGTCTATGAGGATAAGAAGTTCATTTAGCTGGCAGCAGCTTGCTGTGTTTGAGGATCAGTAATCGATTACAGATACATAGAAATTTAGCCATTCAGCATGAGTAATAAGTTACACACTATACACAATAATTGATTGTAGTTATTCATAACAGTCTACAGGATTTGTTTTTAGGCCTCACAGGCTGTGGATGTATAACTGCTCTAACAGCTTCCTCAAATACCTGAAAATTATCAATAAAATATATTACACAAATTTTATATATCTTAATTATTCATTTCAGTTCAATTGTGAAACAACTTACATTACTTACTTTACAATTTACATTAATCACTTTCGAGTATGTTTCCTGGAACAAACCAATACAGGCTTCAAGGTTTTAAAATGATTTACTGAGCTTTGTCTTGAATTCAAGGACTTCCATTGGTCAGTAACGGTTACATTCTTTTCATGTTTTGCAACCAATCGGGAGCAAGATATCCAAGTTTAAGATTAAATTTCTTTATAACTTCAGATCATATCAGGAAACGTGGTAAGGACCCAAAACAGAACTAAATCCCAGGATTTAGAGGAATATATCCATTGTTTTATTTGTTAAAAGTTTTGTTGGCACTTTTTAACAAAATTTATACCTGTTTAAGTCCTCGCTGAGTTAAAGCTGAACATTCCATATATTTGACAGCTCGAATTTTATTGGCTAATTTAATACCCTGTTCTCGCTTGATTGGTGACAATCCTTGTTGAGCTAATTGTCCAATGGCTTCTTTATTTTCACGTAAATCTATTTTGGTTCCTAAAACAAATGATAACAATGATGTTTTAGACAAATCAAAAAATTAGCAAATATATTTTTGATATCCTTAATAAACAGAACTTAAAAACTCTATTTCTCTCCAGAATATTAAAATTATTCTGTATAATTTTCTTGAAAATAAACTGATATACTTTGCAAGACTAAGTTCTTTAAACTTCAGGAAAGGATAATTGTTTCCATATATCAACACTTTGCAGAAGTACTATATTTCAGTATAAAAAAAATATATAAGGTTTTTCCTATATTAAGAAGCTTAGCAAAATATACAATTATTACCTTAAATGACAGCATATTGATTTTTAGAATCATCTAATTTTCAAAACCAATTTGGATTTAAATATTAACTAAATTATAGCATTGTGTAAACATTCAATATACAATGTCCTTCAAAGTATAGAGGGGAGTCTGCTTTTTTAACCCATCACCTCTAAAAATGCTGAAAACTGAAAGAGATAAGCCTTTTCACTGTTAAAGAGCCAGACCACTTAAACTTTGAATATACTGTTCATGGCCAAATCCATTACACTGAGTCTGCAGATTGAATGAACTTCACTGAGGATTTTTGACATGACTGGACTCGAAATATCATATTTTTTCAAGATTTTTATACCATGTCATATGACATAAGTCTTTTTACCATAACAACTTTTGTGCAAAATTTCATATCACTTCCTAATTTCATTTTTCCAGAATATTCATTTTTATTGTGCACAATGGCCTAAAAACAAAAAGCATTAAAGCTTTTAACTCAAATCAGAATAAGAATCATACTAAATACTGATTTTCAATTTAATTCTTTATATATTTCTTTATTACCTTTTTTCATATTTTTCCATTTAAAGAGCCCCAGTTGATCTATGTAAGATTTTCAAATTTTATGTCTTAGGCTTTTGGACCACAGTGGTTGGGTTATACGTGGCACCAACACTGTAATGGTCATACGCCAATTTTCAAGCTTTACTGGTGGAGAAAGAGGTCAGGTGTTCCTCTGTGCATTATTATTATCAGGCACGGAGGTGCACTTGACTAATCATAAGCTAGCTGGATAGCTTTCTCTCATAGTCCCTTGCCAAATTCAAACCCACAGCGGTAAAGGGCAAGTGTTTTGAAGTCAACTACCTTAACCATCAGGCCACAGGCGACCCAAGACTACAGTGGAGCTCGGATTGCAGACAGACTTACCTACTACAATGACTGGAGCATCAGGACAATGATGTTTAATCTCAGGATTCCATTTTGTGACTACATTTTCATGGGAAGACGGACTAACTACACTAAAACATATCAGGAAAACATCCGTCTGAAATGGAAAAAAACATTAAACTTGCATAAATTACAATAAAGAAAGACTTAAAATTGTAATTTATAACTGAAATAAACTTAATAGACAGAATAGAACCTTTGACATTTTGACTTGTTGGAAAAGCGGCCATAATAAAACATTCAAATGTTTGAAATAACATTTTAGCTGCTGCTCAGATATAAATCTGGCAAGTGTTATGAAGTTAAACCACTTAACCACTGTGACATGCAGGTGCCTTAAACCTGCAACTTGACTCTTTAAGCCACTAGATGGCGCTTGGGCAGGTTTTCATGGTATTTTTGACATGCTTCACATCTAACAGCCCTTTTTTTGAAATAGTCAATTAATCAAGAAGTATTTTGCCTAAAAACTTTTTGTGTAACTTTTTTGCAACATTTGAAACAAAATGAAATGTGCACAAACTCAGTACAACATCCTGTTAACTTCTCATTTCTATGAATACCTATTATATAAAACAGCAAAAAATTTTTATCATAACATCCTGTTAATGATCATTTCTAAGAGCATGTCTAATCTCAAATAGAAAGAGCATTTACTTGTGGGTAAGACAGAGGTCGTAATCTATCGTAATCTTCTTGTCCTGCGGTATCCCACAATCCTAGACTAACAGCTATCCCATCTACCATCATGTTAGCTGTATAGTTATCAAATCTGGAATAAACATATTTATAAATCAATCAAATAATAAATCAGTTATAATAAATCAATCATATAATAGATAATAAATCAATCATATAATAGATTAAATAAAAATCAGTCAATAATAAATCGATCAAAAAAAATCAATCATATAATAAATCAATCATATAATAAATCAATCATATAATAAATCAATCATCATATACTAAATCAATCATATAATAAATCAGTCAGTTTGCTTAATCAGTCATAAAATAAATCAATCATACAATAATTCAATCATATAATAAATATGTAGGTTCGATAAATCAATCACATAGTAAATCAATCAAATAAAAAATAAGTCATATAATAAATAAATCAAACATATAATAAATCAGTCAGTTTAATTAATCAATCATATAACAAATAAATCAAATAATAAATCAGTCATATAATAAATAAATCAAATAATAAATCAGTAATAAATAAATAATTTATAAAATAAATCAATCAAATAAGCAATCAAAACATGTGAAGTATATATTCCTATCATATAACATCTATATTGTATTAGAATATACATTAATTATGAGTGTGATGTTGAAGTATAATAAATAAATCAATAATTAATCAATTAAAACATGTAAAGTGCATATTCCTATCATGTAATTTCTATATTCAATTAGAAAATAGACATTAATTTTCAATTTTGAGTGTTATGTTGTTGATTATATGCATGGTTCAAATTCAGTATGGAATTAGAAAATCATAAAGGTTTGCAGGCCTGAGGGATAAATTATAAAAGCATTGAACAATAAGCAATGCATTATAGTATAATTGATATCTCCATTCTAACATGCTAATTAATATAATAAGGCTCCACAATCATTAAAAATGTTTTGTTGTTTTTTTTATGTAACAATTGCACCAAACTCCATCAAAACAAAAATTAAAATATTTAATGTCAAATTTTAACACATTTCTAAAAAGGTCATAGTCAGAGCCAATGTTTATGAAATATGCTCTGCTAAAACATAAGTGGAAACAAAACTGCTCTAGAGCTATCACTGAAGGTGATTAATACCCCCACAAGCAACCATTACGTTTGAAAAATAAGTGGTGTGAACAATAGTTTGAAGTTGAACTATAATTTATGAAGATTAAAATGAGTACAAAGAATTGCAACATCAACCAGGTCTTCAAGAAAGCTTGTTTTATCTCATTCCTAGCTCAATTATCGTCCGGAAACCATTTTTCTATTTTTAGTAATGGTGACCTAGTCGTTGACCCCAGGGGGTCCATATGCGATACCAACCCAGGTATTCATACAAGCTTGCTGTACACCAAGTTTGATTGGAATATCTCATTCCTAGCTCAAGTTATCGTCCGGAAACCATTTTTCTATTTTTAGTAACGGTGGCCTAGTCTTTGACCCCATGGGGTCCATATGCAATACCAACCCAGGTATTCATACAAGCTTGCTGTACACCAAGTTTGATTGGAATATCTCATTCCTAGCTCAAGTTATCGTCCGGAAACCATTTTTCTATTTTTAGTAACGGTGACCTAGTCTTTGACCCCAGGGGGTCCATATGCAATACCAACCCAGGTATTCATACAAGCTTGCTGTACACCAAGTTTGATTGGAATATCTCATTCCTAGCTCGTTATCGTCCGGAAACCATTTTTCTATTTTTAGTAATGGTGACCTAGTCTTTGACCCCAGGGGGTCCATATGCAATACCAACCCAGGTATTCATACAAGCTTGCTGTACACCAAGTTTGATTGGAATATCTCATTCCTAGCTCAAGTTATCGTCCGGAAACCATTTTTCTATTTTTAGTAACGGTGACCTAGTCTTTGACCCCAGGGAGTCCATATGCGATACCAACCCAGGTATTCATACAAGCTTGCTGTACACCAAGTTTGATTGGAATATCTCATTCCTAGCTCAAGTTATCGTCCGGAAACCATTTTTCTATTTTTAGTAACGGTGACCTAGTCTTTGACCCCAGGGGGTCCATATGCAATACCAACCCAGGTATTCATACAAGCTTGCTGTACACCAAGTTTGATTGGAATATCTCATTCCTAGCTCAAGTTATCGTCCGGAAACCATTTTTCTATTTTTAGTAACGGTGACCTAGTCTTTGACCCCAGGGGGTCCATATGCAATACCAACCCAGGTATTCATACAACCTTGCTGTACACCAAGTTTGATTGGAATATCTCATTCCTAGCTCAAGTTATCGTCCGGAAACCATTTTTCTATTTTTAGTAACGGTGACCTAGTCTTTGACCCCAGGGGGTCCATATGCAATACCAACCCAGGTATTCATACAACCTTGCTGTACACCAAGTTTGATTGGAATATCTCACTCCTAGCTCAAGTTATCGTCCGGAAACCATGAAGGTGGACCGACCGACGGACGGACCGACCGACCGACCGACCGACCGACAAGCTGACTCCTATATACCCCCCCTAAACTTCGTTTGTGGGGGTATAATAAATACAATGTATTTGTGAGGTCCAACATTAATGTCTGGTTTATACCATGTTACATGATATGCACTTATACCCAAGTATCCCAAATGTGTGATAGTATTACATTTTTACTCAAGTTAATGAAACCAGGACTTCAATCCTAGCTATTTTGGGAAAAGGCCCCTGACATAAATTGGGACATATTTTTCAGCATTTAGGGGAATTTGAGAAATTTTAAAAAGTTGAAAATCTACCTTCTAGATGACTTAATTTTTTTTTATAATGTGTATGATCATATAACTTGTCACTTCTTTTAAGAAACAAATCAAAACAGTCCAATTTTCTTTGAAGGCATAACAGTTTAATTTTTATGGTGCTGTTGGGATTTTTTTTATTGAAATTCAAAATATTTTGGATTGGGAAGAGTCTTTTTTTGGCACCTGGTGTTCTGGTGAAAATGCCCTACCCTACATATTTACTTTGTTCAACTAACAAAAATCATACACAAGTTATAGCATTGCTTCTTACTATCTATAAAGCCACAATTTCATCTAATAAAATTTGGTCAAGATAAGTGAAAAACAATTATTTAACATGCTTCTACTTTCTCTGATATACAATGTACACTTACACTGTTGGGACATATTCTCCAGGAAAACTGTCTGTCGTGTATGATATCAACATACAGGTTTTACCAACGGTACCATCTCCCACCACAACACATTTAATTGGCCGACCCTGGGCCATGTTATTTTCGATTCCGTAAAAGCGTGTCTGCTCCAGCTTGCTGATTTTCAACAGTCAACCTCCCTCACAAACTGCAATATAAATATAAAACAATATTTTACATTTATCTTTTTAACAAAATCGTTCATTGGGTCTTCATCAACACTGTTAAAGTTTTATACAGTAAATTAACTATTTTCTGTACTGGCAGAAGAAAACCTCCTGCAAATTTTCAATATTTACTGATTTTTCAAACCACAAATATTTAAAAAACAAGTCTTTGAAATTTAAACCATAAACAAATGGCATTATTTTTTCTTAATCATGGCAAAAAGCTGCATTTCTTGGTAAAACTAAAATTCAAATTGTTGTCTTGAAACTATGTCTTTTTTCAAAAGTCTTCATCTTCTTTTATCAACTGCTGTCCTACTAATTAATCTAAACACATCAAAGACAATTCCAGGAAACATTCCAATTTGGTATTTAATTTTCTTTCCGCAAATTGCATAATTTTCATTAATTATCGGAATCAAAAACTACTCAAAAGAGACCTTAACATTACTGAAGTCAATTATGGAGATCCACTTTCACAACTTCCTAGAAACAGCCCTAAATGCTAAAGCATGCAACCATCTCAGTCAAAGTTAATTTGAGGAACGCATTTCCTTCTTATTTCCATTTTAAGACTATAAAACCCGAAAACAGATCTTTCATTAACATGTTAAAAGAACCAAAAAAAGCACTGAATTGCTCTTTAATTAAATCACTAGCAATTTTCTGTTAATTCTTTTTCTTTCAACCCTAGAGAAAATTATGGGAAAACAAAATTAATACTTATTTTGTTTGGCCTTACATTCTTTACAATACAGTCTTTTCTAATTGCAGGATCACAAACTCGTATACTAAAATAGTTTTACTTACATGAGTTGGTCATGAACGAATTGAGGTAATTTTTTTTGATGTCCCTCCCTCTTTGCTCTTATCTACAAATTCCAATTACAATGTTTCCAGTCAAAATCTTCTCGGCTGGGTTTTCTGCAAGGAGAAAAAAATGAAAATATCTTAAAAACAAATCTCAGAAATTAAATGTTTTGATACATTATCTTATAAACGAGGTTCATATAATGTTATAAAATATAAACAGTCCATATATTGTTTGTTTTTTAACAGGTAAACAGAACAACTACTTGTTAGTGAAACAGATCCAGTTTTATATCATAGTTTTTGTGGTTATTTATAGATTGAATTTCAATATCTATATATAGCATCAACTTGTATATAAAGAGGACATTGTATAAAAGCATGCTACTTTTTCATTTCTTCAGTTGCTAAACAGTATTAGTATTTTTAACAGGGACCTTGTCCACAAAGGGCAGGCATTTACCAGGGGTATAACTATAATACTCCAAAAGCCGAAGTCCTGCAGAAGCCTATGAGGAAAGGGCAAGGTCATGCTACAATTGATAAAGGCTTTAGCAACTGTCTTTAAAATCTTCTTCATATACTGCTATATGAATTCTCAACATTTATAACTAACATTAAATATATGCCTCATAAATGACATAATTACACCCCTTAAAGATATCTTGATAAGATTTTTTTCCAGGATAACTTTGGAATGTCATGTACATGTATTTAAAAACCAGTGAGCACAGTTTGATATAATGTAATCTAGTATCAGCATTAGAAGTCAGGGTGTGGTTAGACCAACTTAGAGAGCTGACTAATGCTGGCTTTATCACCCACTATCTTAATCCATCTTATTTCAGCTCATCCATTATCTTTATACTGTGTTAAAAAAAATCATGTTGGTTATCCCAAAAATATTTGCATAATCACAGCAGGAATGTTTCGTATATTCAATGCATGATCACAATATACATATACAGGAATCTTCACAGGAAAATATAAAACTGTACATGTATGTAAAAATGTAGATACCTACAGCTCATGCATAATTTAAAGACATGTAATGAGATATCATGAGTTTTTTTTATAAGCAGAAAAAATTAAAATGATTGGTTACATTTTAAGGGTCACGGTAATCTCACACTACTCATTTTATAGCGAAGTATCCCCAGAAAAAGTAAAATTTGTGACCTGTTAAATGTGCTTTTTGTGAAATTATTACAAACTAGGTGAAGTTTTATCACATTAAAAAATTAATGCTTATACAACAAACATATAAAGAAAACATGACTGTTTAAAATTGTTGTTACATCAAGAAAATAATGCATGAGATTCAAACTTCTAAAATGAATTTAATTTTCATTTAACCACTTGTCATTTCAACCTATCAACTTCAATGCTTTGAATACTTTTATTTACCAGGTAGCTCATTTTAACACTTCACAAATCTTACCAGCTTATTACAATTGTATTATTTACATGTATATCAAATTTATAATCATCTCAACTCTATACAAATATTATTAGCTCCATTTAATGCTATATAAATATTACCATCTTATTTCAATTCTATATTATATACATTATTATTTCAAATTCATCTCAACCTGATACAAATATTACCAGCACCTTTTAATACTATACAAATATTATGTCAAGCTCAAAGAGGCACTGGCCTTATTAATAAGTTAACTGATACAAACACATTGGCCCACCACAAATATCCAGGTGGAATTCTGTCAAATACATTTGCACAAACTGTTTTCTTAACAAGAAAATAATTTAAAGACCTGTCTTTACAATATATGTGAGAACTTGGAAGCATAACAATTCAAAACCCAACAGTAACTTTGACCTTCCTAGGTTATTAGCACAGACTGTGTATGTCCCAACCTGACATTAATGGCAAATTGAGTACCAGTGTACTTCCAACACCAGTTCCTGGCTTGTAAATTTTCCTCTTACATGACAGGGTGCTTTAAACTTTGAACATAAACATCACTTCTCTAACAATTAACACCAATTAAATAACCCTGCAGGCACATTGTTCTTCCTTTCCAATTTTCGGTACAACAACTTGTTTGGTTTTTACATGGCTGTATATTAAGACTAGAAGAATATACCAAAGAATTACTCACTAATTATCCCTACTCTGTGATGGTAACAAACAATTAACCTATTCCCTAATGATCATGTATAATAGGCCTGTTCATTATTTATTCCATGGATGTCTAGAATGAATCTGATTAAAACACCAAAATTAAACAGTTAAGAATAAAACAATTCTGGCAGACTTTATCATCATTATACAACTCAGGGTACAGGCTTTGTTAATAAACTTCAAACTTATAATCTTAATGAAGCTGATGTCCCCAAACTTGATGCATACCTGACCATTATAAATATATTTGTACAGATGCTCAAGAAATTTAGCACAACAGTTCAAACTGCACAAGATGTGAAGTCACCGATAGCAGTGCTGAGGGAAACTGGGGGTTGAAGGGGGAGGGGAGCTTTTACCAAACTCTTAGTCTGTCTAAGCACTGCTGGGTCAATTTAGTAATTTTGTTTTGGCACCAAAGAGGGAGCATATATCCAACTAGCAGTGTGACGCATTTAGTGTGAATATTTCTAATTTTTCACCCGACTACATTTTTCATAATATATTAATAAAGTATGACTCACTTTCATTGACATATATTCCACACTCATTTAACAAACAAACAAACAAGTCTACATAGTGTACATCCTAGAATATTATGAACAGTTAAATTTCCATAATGAAGTTTTTTTTTAAACACCTATATGATGATGCATTTCATTACATCAAATGAGATTGAAGTAGCAGCATGCACACACACACACACATATACTATTTCATATGACCTTACCTGTGTACATGTTGATCAACATGTAATCAGTTTGTAAAGTCATGACTCAACCATGATGTAAAAGAATTGAAAATAATCCAAACACTGTATTACCTCTATCACTCTAAGGTGTATCATGATTAACAACACTTACTAAAGTTATCAGTCTTTATAAACCGAGAACTTCCTATATCAATCACTATAACACCAGACTTGCATCCTTAGTTAACTGTTACTCATGCTAACTTAATATAATAAGTCATTTTCAGACTTTGTTTAAACTTTATTTATTCATGCTACATTATGAAGATCAGCTTGATGCTAATATTTGAGCCACATAATTTAACCAGTAGTTGGTTTCATATAAGCTAACATAAGCATGTAGAGCTTGAACCCATGTACCAAGTTGGTTGGGATGTACATTAACCACTAAGCTGCTCACTGCGTGCAACTGAACTCCTTACTGCCAACTGAGAATATTTTATGATGGTTTTCATGTCAAATTGCACATACATGCAGACTGGCTTGGCTCTAAAATACTTTAATACAGTTACTGGTTGCAAAGGTTATCATTTTGGGTTCCAGCACAGAGCAGATATATTTCACTTACTGTGTACAATATTGTTCAATTCTCAACTTTCTTCACTTAAAGCAACCTTCAGATGAAAAACTGTATTTACATTTTAAGAAATAAATAATATCTTACTACATTCCAAATGACACACAGGATGATTTATAGCATAAACTTTATCTAACTTTACCATTATATCACCATAATTACATTCCTTACTAACAGAGTAACAGCTATTTCTGCATTTTCTGACAATTGTTATTATTACTGTTAAAATTCTATAGGTCATTTGTAGGTTGTAAGTCACTTAGTGCCATATATGCCAGCTATAAATAATTTTGTTGTGCAACACTTGACAAATACTTGGACATTTGAAACAGACTTTCTCAACTTTCATATAACTTTATACATGAATCTTGAGGGATGCCGATTTAAAGTTAATTTATAAAGCATGCAGTAATGTCATTTAGGTGAATAGTCTTTTTGTAGCTGTATATATTGTCTATAATAATTATTTGAATTAAGTTAAACATTGCAAGCTTATAATGGATGCATCACCGTAAATATTTCAAACATCAACCCTGTAAAATCAATACAAAGTCAATAAATTACATAATATTGTTATATACCTTGTAAAATATATCAGGCATCTGCACATATATACAAAATGTATATCTATAATGGTATCATTTTTCAAATTTCATCAATGCATTTTTCCCCCCTTGAACCTACTTCAAATCTTATTGCATCTTCAATAATTCCAATATTCATGAGCTGCAGAAAAAACAACAACACCCCTGCAATTCTCTCAATGAAACATTTATCGCTAGTATAAAATCACTAAAAATCTGTATTTTCTCCACAAAATTCCTCAAAAAAAAGATTCATGTGTAATTCCAGTAGATATCTGAATCAGGCTATCTCATAGATAAATCTTTACAGGAATCTTTTCCAGGATCTGTTTATGGGGGTGTGGGTTTTCAAAAACTAGGCCTGAAGAACATTACCTGATATCATTTTTTTGCCATTGCACATTTTGTAATAAGTTGTAATATAATTATTATGTTACTCCTTTCACTGTGTGTGTGGCTTTTATTGGGCTTTTTTGCAACATGTCTTTTTTCTAATAAACAATGTACATGTAGTAACCTCATAAGCTTTATTAAGGTGAAGGCTGAAAATTCTAATGCAAAGAATTTCATATCATTTTTTTATATTTTCCTTTCATAGCACTAATTTTTTGCATTATTTCTATCATACTCCTAGCCAAAGACTGAAGTCAAGAGGGTAAGGGGCATGGTGTTAACTGGAGTCATGGCAATATGTGTTTCAACATTCTCCTAAGAAAACTTCTGCCTAACTCAGCATGTGAAGCTGATACAAGCCTATACTAACATTACAATGTAGCTGGAAGTTAACTACAATATGTTGCCATTTATAGAAGCATTATTCCTTTGCCCAGGAAGTAAATGTTCCTAAAGAAATTAAATGACACTGTTCAAGTTTTATCTTGGGAGATATAAGCACTTCTAACATTTTGTTCAAAGTGTCAAAAACATCCAGTACAGTAAGCTTCTTCAATTGACAGCCTGAATCTTTGTATAATACAGCAGCTACATGTTTACAAATCTTAATAGATAGTATATACCATATTATAGTATAATATACAATGTAATTCTATTTAA